CTTTGGCAGCAAACTTTTCTCAATGGCTAGAGATGTCAATCCGAAACGAAGTTAAGATACAGATACAAATTGGAATGGATTTTTAGGCTGAACTGAAACTTCCTGAAGGAAAAGGCTAACTTCAAAGCGTAAAGTGTTCGCCCGAATTAACAGTGGGCTATTAAAACACATACATAAGCGCAGATTTTGTAAGGCAAAACTTTTAGGAAGTTTGGCCCAATTAAAACCCATCATTATACAGTGAGTCGCCAACTTTATCGTGTCACGAACACACCCCCAAAACGCCAGACGCAGCAGCAAAAAGACAACCCACAACCACCAACCGCCCACAAAAGCCGCACAGATACACGCACTTGACTCGTCTGCCTCGCTCCTAATTTTCCGCATTTTCCTCGAAGCGTGGCAACCGAAATCTATTTTTGGCTCACCGATTTTCCAACGAAACGCAGGACAGTGAACACAAAATAGAAGCGGAAAGCCACAGCCTTATGCAGCTCCACTGCCCCACCTGTAACGTTCAGATAAGACTGACGGGAAAACTGACGGGGAAAACTTACGGGGAAAACTGGCGTGGAAAACTGACGGGGAAAACTGACGCTTAAAGTGTTTTTTCCCCCTGTTTTTTGGGGGCTGGGGCGTTGGGTTTTGGGTGGACGAGCACGCCCACTGAAGGTCTCCAAGGAAGGCTGCGTGGGCCGTCTTGAGGTCACCTACGCTCACACACACACTCACACACAATCACACACGTATCCAGTGAATACACATGGAGTTCTGGCCCACGCTATTTGGCTATTTTTGCCCTCACACGGCAGAAAATGGGCAACCATTTCAGTTAGATGGCTAAATGTGCAGTAACAAGGCTAACTATTAAAGTAAGTACATGCATATAACACACTTTGGAAAAAGTAGTTGCCGTATCAAGTCAGTAGGTCAAAGTAATTTCCATATAATGACAAAGTAGTACAAGTTAATATAGAAATGATTTATGGGAACACACGATTAACGCAATTACTATAAACTGCATAATCGTGGTGCTTGCTCTTCGGTAAGCCATTGTTTTTCTCAGTGCAGCCGCGCAGACTTTGCATATGAAGTGAGCGGATGAGGAGCGGGAGAAGTGCCATGCCAACATCTCACATTTGCTTGGACGTGTCCAAGTTGTCACCTGCCGGTGGCAAAGGTCACGCCCAGGCTATTGCATTACGGTTCCAATTCAAAGGGACTGTCATATGCAGTCGCCACCACCCGGCTCCATCCCTGTCCACATGCTCATCCCCCCAAGAATCTCATCCTTGGCTCACTTCATCCATGCTGACTGCATCTGCATCAGCATCAGCATCGCATCAACATCAACATCTTTGGGTTTATCATAGGTTGTCGTCGCCAGCCTTTCATTGACGACAATTCTAGCTGCGCACATAAGTCGGATATGTACCAATGGATATATATGTACATATATACATATATATATAGAGTGTATAGAGAGCTCTGTGTGCTTAGCCCATTTGTATGGACGCTCGATTAATGAGCGTTTTGTATGCGTTGCTCGACCAGCGCCTCGCCTTCTGGGTGGTCACCCAGCCCCCTTCCCCGGTCTCCTCCCCCCTCTCCAGCTCCCGAAAACCGAAACCATCTAAATCTGAAACCAAATCCAGCAGCAACAACAAACGGAAGTGAGCTTTGGGCGTGGGCTGCTTGATCCGGTGAGCAGAAGGGGGTGCAGTTATTGTCTTAGTCTGCTAATGGAAAAGATTTACTGGGAAAGTCTCGAAACGTAGTTAGAGCCAAGAAAAGGAGCTTTAGCATTTGCTGTTCGGGGAAATGCATAGCCATATTTGAGGTAAAAATAGTAGTAATCGAATCGATAATGGGGCTTAAAGACTAAAGTACCGACTAACTGCTCTGTAAATTGGCATTCTGAGTGCCGTCAAATGGAATAACAGGAAATATTTGTGTAATTACATCAAGCAAATTGCTTTGCAGACCAATTAATTGGCGATTAGCCCACAAAAGAATGGAAAACCGCATGGACCCTTTGAATTTACTTCGTAGTCTTCATAAATTCGCTAGTCGTCAGCTCTTTCAATTGCAATTGTGTGTTGGCCCCCACAACAAACACGCTTGTTGCTGCTGTTGTTGTCGTATTTATTTTTAAAAATTATAATTTTCAAAAATAAAAAGGCCATTTTTCGCTGGCATTTTTTTCAGCGTCGGTGCGACGACAAAAATAATGAAAATCACATGTTTGCTTGCGGCATAAAAATGGTTGTTGGTTTTGGTTTTGGTTCTGGTTTGTTTTTTGGTTTTGGTTTTGTTTTTGTTTTTGTTTTTGGTTCTGGTTTTGTTTTTGTCTCTGCTGCTCTCAGTTGAGTTGAGTTCAGTTCGCTTCTTGTTGGTCTGTCATTTGGCGTTTTGCTTTGCTGGCAGCACAAACACATATCTTATAGATACTTTACTATATACGAGTAGGAGTAGGTATGTACGGTGCTATGCCTATCTACAGGGCATATCTGAAATCTCAACCCATTGAAGCGTGCGCCAGCCCATCCCCCTCACCGGATTTTCCTCACTTTTCCCCGGGTTAAGTAAACGTTACGTGGGGTGAAAATTGCGCCACTTGATCGTTTTGATATATCACTTTGGTATCTATGTGAATTGGCTTTCTATGAGCCGTTGTTTCAATTATGTCGTCGGTTGTTGTCGTCAGTATCGCATGGTATATGGCATATAGCTTATAGATATATAGATGTATCCTATATAGGATATACCCCGTGGCCCAGCAGATCTTGGCTGCCTTACATTTTGGTAACAGTTTCGTGATAATCTATTTTTAGCATTGCGAATGCAATTAATTTGCTGTCATTTCGGCCTCTCGCTGTTGTTTGTGTAATTTTATTTCTGCCGACTATTCTTGATACATCCCAAATAAGACAGGGGAAGATATATGCACGGCATGAGCGTATATATAGACCAGTTGCTATAAATCAGGTGGTGGGGGCGGGGGAGAGACTGATTAAAACGAGAGGCCCTCATACAAAGTTACAGGTGATCTACAAAGTGCCCTGATCGAGATCACAGAAACCTATAGGCACACCTATATGGTGTAGATATACCCCTCGGAAACCTTCACGACTTCCCCATCCATCTGGCTGTCTATTTGGCGTCTGCGTCATCAACGTCATTGTGGATCTGGTGGATGTGGTGCTTCGCTGTGTGTCTAGCTGTTTATTTAGCTAATAAAAATTAAGCATTTAATTTATTTATTCAGATATGTTTGTGTGCACATGTTTTTGGCAGAGGCGAAACGAAAGCAAAAGAAATGAAGCCAACGCGAGAATTTCCTTCCATTATGAATGAAATTTGTATTTGTGTATTTTTGGCTATGACATAAATTCAGAGCACAAAACCGATACAGAAGCCAGCAGCAGAGAAGGCCACTTAATTCAATTGAAAATTGGTAAAATTGGTAGGAGATTGGTAAAAATCCCACCCGAAACATCAAAAAAATAGAAGGCAAGACAAGACCATCGATCAAAAAACGTTAACTTATCGGCTGAAAAGTTGTTACGCCTCTTTTATTTATTCTGCCTCTCGTTTCCGTTAGCCCCAAAAATTAACAGCCAGCAAAAAGTAAATAAACTTAAATATTTTTCGTCGACTGATAAACGTCCTCTCCGCTGCGACTGATTTTTTAAGCGTGTGTCAGCGTGAAAAAGAAAGCAAAAGCATGAGCATAGCCCCAAAAAGAAAAAATAATAATAATAAACGAAAAAACGAAAGAACGAAAAAACGAGCCTAATACCTGGGGGTCTTCGTCTTATCGAGTCACCTAAAAAGTATCGATGACGAAACTGCCTCACCTCACGTTCTTTTCTAGATTAAACCCCTTGAAAAGTGTTTAAAAATAGAGTAGAAAAACACGCTCGAGTGTCCAAAGGTTTGCCACACACATCACATAAAAACAAAAAGCGTATGCAGGAAAAAGTGGGCAACTGATTAGAAGGTTTAGCTAAAGTCAGTCGTCAGTCGACTGATTTGTGAATGGAATTCTCTGTGGAACTGAACCGTCTGTGATCGATCGATCGATCCGATCCGATCCGATGGAATCAAACCGCATAGCATCCCATGGAATCGGATGGGTTGGGATGGGATCGACTGGGCATTATCAGTGGATCGGTGGGCAACAATGAAACAACTTTATAAATTCACATTCTAGAATTTCTCCACAGATGCAAACCGAATCGGAGAGCAATTTATTTTCAATAAAAACTGATATACTCCTGCGTGTGTGTGAGCATTTGGGGATTGGGATTATCTGTCTGGTCCGATCAGTAAATACCGATGGCAGACGAGGCCAGACAAACAAACAACTTGAAATGTCAGTTAAACATTTTGTGCGGCAGCCGCGAAATAATCAAATAAAATAAAAAGCAGGAAAATTTATTTGATTTTACTTTGACAGTTAATGCATTTATATATATTTATATTTAGCACTCTCGGATGGGAGATCAAAGCAATTCTATCTATAGAACGTTTTGTATTCTTCAATGAAATTCTAGAGGGCAGTGAAAAAACAGGAATTATAGCGTAAAAAATATAAATAAATATAAGGGAAGACTAACACAGATTATTTGATTAGATTTAGTTTGATAAACCTTAAATCTCTGACTGATTTTTATGCCTATTTTCCCGTGATGTTTATTTCCACTATAATTCTTCCTGATTTCCGATCGCTACTTATGCATGTATGTTCATCGAAAATGAAAAAGAACATGTCACGATGCAGTCATAAATTAATCAGATATTCGCATGGAATAAACATATACACCAATCATTTCTATCAAGAACTGTGCATTTCCTGGCAATCCATTTGGCCGAAGGTTGGACGCCAAAACGTGATTAACTGAAATTGCAGCAACTGCGCGGCATATAGCTTCTATTTATTCGAGATCTGTGAGATATATGCCCAGATATCTTGGCAGCTGTGGGTGCGAACTTACATTGATTTTCAAAAGCAATCCGTGGTACAAATTCCGTAATTAATCACCGTAGATGTGTGTTGAAAGTGTTGTATAATCCTTATTATTCGGGAAGTATCCAAAATGATGAATTCGATTCTTTTGGGTGTAATCCAAAGGCGAATTGGAGAGGGGGATTCTTCAGATTCTTACTCGCGATCGCGGCTGCTGGTTTTAATTTAGCATTTATTAAAGGTGATTTTTCGCTTTGCTTTCTTTCGCATTTCATTCACAAAAGTAAATTTAATTAACACAAAAACGACGCCGGCGGCGATGTTTGATTTTGTTATTATTTTTGCCAGACTCGTATTTTTATATATTAGCTGGGTTTGGTTTGGTTTTTTGGTTTTTGGCGTGCCAATAAAATAATAATAATCAACTTGGCGACCGGCGGTAGTGTTGTTGTGGTTGTTGCTTTTGTTGGTGGAGCAGCGAAGCTGGCGTCGCACAATCACACACAGATACACCAACACACCGAAAGCGGGGCCACGTCGTCGCCTATGTGTGCGTGTGTATGCGAGCGGCGAATGTATCTGTGTATCTCGTTGCTGCGTGTGTGTGCGTCGTTGTCTTGAGTAAAAAATATTTTTATGCAATTTTATATATGTACGTATATATAGATTTATAAAAATATTTGTGTGCGCGAGAGACTGTTGTTGTTTGATTTTGTATTTGCTGAATTTTTATTTATTTTTTCTTTTACTTTTTCCCAACACGTTTTGTATTTGATTGGCTTGAGTTGACTTTTTTTTTTTTTGTTTTTTAAATAGACGTTGTTGATTTTCTTCGAGCAATTTGCATTTTTAGGCACATGATTTCCATTGGAAGCGATTGGTTGGTTGGCTTGGTTAACTATTTCTATTTCTATTTCCCAAAAATAAACACTCACTTTTCACCACACACAATACTTTCAAGTGATTGCTTGTTTTATATATATTCAATATATATCTGCGGGTTGTTTGGCGCGTTCTGGTAGTGAATTGTTTTGTTTAGCAGGTTATTGTTGCTCGATTTGCTTATGGTTTGGTTGCTTCGAAAAAAAATGTTGTAGTTTTACAAAAAAGTGGCTTGATTTTTGAGGAAATCGGAAAGACAGCGAACGCGGCAATCGCGGCAACCGCTCGTCACGAGGTTTTGAAGCGAAATGAGCCGCAGTCGTTTTAGTGCGACGTTCCCTCTGTTAGTCGGCTGTTAGCGCGCTGTTGGCTCGAAAAGAGCCCGCTGTTAACTCACGGCGAAAAACCGTGAGAGAGGCGGCAAATTCGTACAGCGATCACTTTTTGCTCTTTTTTGCTTTAATTGAACGAAATTTTTCATTCTCAAAATGTTTGGATGTGTGTGAGAGAGCATTTGCTGAATGGGCGTTTTACTGGCGCTTTTGAAGGGGGATTCAAGGTTTTAGCCAATCCATTTCCAGTCCAAATTCTAGATATTCATTTAAAAATATTTTATTTACCAGAAATTATCAAAGGAAACCCTTTTAAAAGGTTAAAAAACAAGCACAGGAAATGCTGGCGGCGAATTTGACTCACTCACACACGCTCGCACGCAAAGCAAACTCAGGCGAATGTATCTGTGTCATTCTCTCTCACTCGCGCGGCGAATTCAGCTCTTGCGACCATACGTACTAAAAACCAACCGGACGTTGCCGCCCCTGGCCCCCCCATAACCCCCCCCTCGACCGCCGCTGCTCCCCCCAAAAGCCTCGCCCCCCTCTCCCAGCGCCCATTTCTATCTGTGTGCCTGTCTGTGTTTGTGTAAAAAACGGAAATTGAAAATATGCCAACTTGTAGGCGCGCTCGCTCGTTTTCAAGGGGTTTCAGCTCGGGATGGGGTGCATGGGGGTCGTGGCGAATTCATGCCAGTTTCTTTTTCATTCATTTAAATTTAAATGCAAACAGCGAACGGCTCGCAGCGCAAACAAACAACAGAGCAAAGGCAAAGCCAACAACAGCGAATGCGGCAAATACAGCAAATACAGGCAAAGCCAAGCGACAGCTGGGCCCCCCGCAATGTGCGAGCCCCTGGCCCCCTACCCCCTACCCCCTACCCCGACCCCCACGCCGCAGCCTCTGGCTCCTACCCACCATTAACCCTTTTGGAGCAATACAATGTATTTCCCAATTTAAATCTTTAATTTGTAATCATTAAGCCACTTTGCACCGTTTTAAGCTTTACAAGAACTTATTTAAATTAAAAATTTATGAAATCATTGCGAATGCATACGATTTTCCATGGATGTTATTAGTAAAAAGTAGCAGTCCTCAATGGGTTAAGCAGCTGGATTGCCTACGCTGCGAATCCCCGATCCAAACAAGTTTTCCACGAATGGGTGTGCTGTCGTCGTCGCTTTTCCGGCCGTTGCGTGCATAAACTGGGTAATTTTCCCCGTCGCCAATTTGCCAATCACCTCTCGGCTCTGCTCATTTTCCATACTATCTACGTTTTTCCCTCAATGAAAATTTTCCTCTAGCATATTTTCACTAGATCTGCTTAGAGAGTCTTACATATTATTTGGTTTTAAAACGTGGTTGTAGTATAAATTAATATAACAATATATTATTGTACAAAAAGGAAAGATTTATTTGGAAATGTTGTATTATTTGTTAATATAAAAACCCTTTTCAGTTTGGTAAAATATATATACAAAATATAGGTGACGCCGACCGCGCTGCCGACTTCGTCGCGTTGGCTGACAATATGAATGAAAATTACGCACACACAGCGAGCGCGAAAGAGAGAGAGGCGAGAAAGTTGGGGGAAAACTCAAGATGTTTTTCCATGTGTGTGCTTGGGTTTCCAGCCATTCAGTTGGTGCGAGTGTGTGTGCACGTTGCATGAGGTAAGCATAAGATGTTGTGCACATGTGTGCGTGGAAATGCTTCGCTCAGGTGGGCCGAAGGTGCCAAATCATTCACACTAAAGGGTCACAGCCCTGTCCGAAAACACTACAAGAAAAAATGTGAAATTATTTTTCAAAATTTCCCACCCAAGTTAAACATAACTAAAAGTTTCGCTGAATTTAGAAGACCCCAATTCGAATAGTATTTTTGCAATTCCAGATGGATTCTTCCACACATTTCCACTAATTCCAAACTGCTGACATATCATAAAACATAACCCATGATACCAACAACTCGTAGCTCTTGCGTATGAATGATGTTGAAAAAGCAAGTACAACAACACAACTGGATGTTGTTGTTTTCCTCAGTAGTTGCTGCTCTCGGGCAGAGTTGCCATAAATAAGATACACGATTGAGCGGCGCGTGCGGCTTCAAGCTCGACAACTCTGGTTGGAAACCTCCAACTCAAAACCAGTAGCACTTTTCTGAGAGAAAAATGTGTAAAATATAATAAAATCGTATGGGTGTTGTCTAATAAGCCAAGTCTCGCGTTTGGGGATCGAAATTCGAAGATAAGCTTGAACTTTCCCAAAAATGGGGAAGTGGATGCGTTTTTTTGATTTCTTTCTTTTTTTCTTTTTGTTACTATGGGGCGTAGTATCTGTAGAATACAAAATAAATAAATGGCATATTCCAAATGGGCACAGATACATGCAAATTTCTCGCTCACATAAAAATATCTCAATTTCAACTCTTTTGAGAGAACACTTCGCCGCACGGCGAATTCGCCAGTGGCCTCTCACCGATACAGATACAAATGCAGCGCCAGATACAGATACAGATACATTCGCCGGCCGTTCGGCTTCGCTTCGTTTCGTTTCGCTTCGTCTTTTTTATGAATGAATTGAACGGGCCCCGATTATAATGAATGGAATTGGAGGTCTGCCCGACGCTCTGCCGGCCTCGTGGGCAAACACAAAATTGCCTTTTGCCTCTCTGACTTTGCAAATTAAATATATTGTTCATCTTTTCTTTTTTATTCAATTTACCCATATATTTTCATCGAATATTGGTTAGCGTGCAATTTTTAGTTCATTGCTTAAGGCAGTTACATATTTACGGGATGTCTTCGCCGCAGACGAGTCGTCGCCATAAATCAGCGTAACAATACTGAAAAAATACACCGTATATGGCAATTTTTTCGACCAGACTTTTTAGACTGACTGGCATCAGTGGCGTAGGAGTGGTTTTTATGCCGAAAACCCTCCAAAAACGAACCACATAAACTTAAAAACTGTTTATAGTATTATTTATCAATTTTTAAGACCTGCTAATGGTCAAATCAAATTGTAATTGTAAGAATTGGTTCATTAATTATTAATATTCGGGGACAACAAATTAATTTTATTTCAACAAATTGCAATAGTAATAATAATTTTCTGAATTGAGATCCGTAACACGCCACTGTTGGACATAATTAGGTCTTGACAAAATTCCAGCCAACCTATGTGGGCGTATCACATTTGTTCAGATCTAGTCACAAAAACTAAGCAAAAATCAAATGGAGATGGGAAAAAATAAACATTTACATAACACGCCTCATTTGAAGCAAGTTGCTCAGGTTTTCCCCCAGTTGTCCCCCAAACATGGCCGAATGAATTGGGCCGGTCCGTATGTAAATCGAATTTTACCCCATCTAGAGAAACCCACTTTCTACGCACTGAACAAATTTCCTCCAGAACAACAGCATTTCGAGTATCTGTATCTGAAAGATAAGAATTTAGGTTTATCATCGCTTGAGTCACGGGGCTAACTCGTGACTTGACCAAATGCAAAACAATAAACAGTTTTGGCATTGTCTTTGTTGTTTGCCAATATTGATAATACCGGCGGCTAATATTTATTATTGTGGGAAATGTATTTCCTTGAAAATATTTCTGTAGAATGTTTACAGCCATAGCGTCCCAAATATAAGTGCAAACCAAAAAGATAACTCTGGTGTTTGATTAGGTGAATCGTTCTTACAAACAATGCTAGACAGGTTTTTTTAGCCAAAAAACATATTAAAAACTATATCGGAAATAGGTAGTAAATTAAAGCCATCAGTTATCAAACAGATTTCAGTTTCAGTTACCAAATTTTAAGTCGCTCAAAATATAAAAACGACATGTGCCAGCGATTAAACAAAGTCACCCAAACTGAAGCCGCCAATTGTGAATTTTATAAAAATGTAAATCAACATGTTATTAAGGAACCGTCAGCATAAAATGTCACATGGCACATAAAACCACGCTTTTGTGAGCAGAAAGCATATTTAAATTACTTACAAATTTGTCAAAGTAGGCTCGAAACCGAATTCCGAAGTGGAAGTGGCGGCTTTCCCTCCCGTCGGAGCTTTGCATATCATTGGCCGTCGGAACCCCCACATGAAAAACTATTTAAGAGTGGTGTTTATTTTTTATGTCTTCTCTCTATCAATATTTTAGCTAAACAAATTTGTGACATACGCAAAATGACGATGGCAACGCCAACTCGCTTCCGTTGCGATCGATAAAGCGAAAAAGTGGCATAAAAGCACTAAGGAAAATTACTTAAACCAAATTAAAAGGGAATTACTTTGCCTTTTGTTTTAAAAATATAAAATAGTAAATCATGTAAATATATATTGTTAAGTCCAAATATATAAATCTAGAAGAAACCAACTGTTCAGGTGCTATTAAAAATAGCTTTCGAAGACCAAAGTAATTGAAGTGTCTTTCGCAGTGCTTTGAAAATACCTTATAATATTGTTATACCTATTAATATTCCATAGTATTTTTTCATTGTTTATTTCAACAATAATTCTACTATATCTAATATTTTTAGCGGTGCAAAATGTGAGAGAAAAGAGGGGCCGAGTTGAGATCTGAGAAAAGCCCACAACTGAAATTGGAACGCGTAGCTCATATTTTGGTTTTGAGTAGTTGTGGCCACGAAGGCGGGGGAGTTGCCCATGCCCACATGGCCTGGCCTATTCATAATTATGTTGGAGGAGCCCCAGCCCCCGGAACCACCTTAAATGGAGCTCCGCATGTATGTGCGTATGCAGCGTGAGCCAAAAACTGGACACTCCGGCGGAAGCCATTTATGGCTACAACAAAAATTAATACAAATAAGATACAAAAAAGCCATTGGCACACCCGAGTCCAAAAATGCGAGAGGCACAGGGCCCAGAGGATCTGATCTGATCGGATCGGATTGGGTCGGCTTGATATCGATGGCACAGTCCGTGGAATGCCAATGCAAAGCAGAGGGCAAAGGACTGAGGATTTGGGAGGCTGGTGGAGTCAACGGCGCAGACCAGTAGCCACATCCGCTGTCAAGTCTTTT